CTGACAACACTGATACAGACAGACAGGCACACTGACAACACTGATACAGACAGACAGGCACACTGACAACACTGATACAGACAGACAGGCACACTGACAACACTGATACAGACAGACAGGCACACTGACAACACTGATACAGACAGACAGGCACACTGACAACACTGATACAGACAGACAGGCACACTGACAACACTGATACAGACAGACAGGCACACTGACAACACTGATACAGACAGACAGGCACACTGACAACACTGATACAGACAGACAGGCACACTGACAACACTGATACAGACAGACAGGCACACTGACAACACTGATACAGACAGACAGGCACACTGACAACACTGATACAGACAGACAGGCACACTGACAACACTGATACAGACAGACAGGCACACTGACAACACTGATACAGACAGACAGGCACACTGACAACACTGATACAGACAGACAGGCACACTGACAACACTGATACAGACAGACAGGCACACTGACAACACTGATACAGACAGACAGGCACACTGACAACACTGATACAGACAGACAGGCACACTGACAACACTGATACAGACAGACAGGCACACTGACAACACTGATACAGACAGACAGGCACACTGACAACACTGATACAGACAGACAGGCACACTGACAACACTGATACAGACAGACAGGCACACTGACAACACTGATACAGACAGACAGGCACACTGACAACACTGATACAGACAGACAGGCACACTGACAACACTGATACAGACAGACAGGCACACTGACAACACTGATACAGACAGACAGGCACACTGACAACACTGATACAGACAGACAGGCACACTGACAACACTGATACAGACAGACAGGCACACTCACACTGACAACACTGATACAGACAGACAGGCACACTGACAACACTGATACAGACAGACAGGCACACTGACAACACTGATACAGACAGACAGGCACACTGACTAACACTGATACAGACAGACAGGCACACTGACAACACTGATACAGACAGACAGGCACACTGACAACACTGATACAGACAGACAGGCACACTGAAAAGACTGATACAGACAGACAGGCACACTGACAACACTGATACAGACAGACAGGCACACTGACAACACTGATACAGACAGACAGGCACACTGACAACACTGATACAGACAGACAGGCACACTGACAAGACTGATACAGACAGACAGGCACACTGACAAGACTGATACAGACAGACAGGCACACTGACAACACTGATACAGACAGACAGGCACACTGACAACACTGATACAGACAGACAGGCACACTGACAACACTGATACAGACAGACAGGCACACTGACAACACTGATACAGACAGACAGGTAGACTGAAAAGACTGATACAGACAGACAGGCAGACTGACAAGACTGATACAGACAGACAGGTAGACTGACAAGACTGATACAGACAGACAGGTAGACTGACAACACTGATAGAGACAGGTAGGCACACTGACAACACTGATACAGACAGACAGGCACACTGACAAGACTGATACAGGCACACTGAAAAGACTGACACAGACAGACAGGTAGACTGACAAGACTGATACAGACAGACAGGTAGACTGAAAAGACTGATACAGACAGACAGGTAGACTGAAAAGACTGATACAGACAGGCAGGCAGACTGACAAGACTGATACAGACAGACAGGCAGACTGACAAGACTGATACAGACAGACAGGCACACTGACAAGACTGATACAGACAGACAGGCACACTGACAATGACTGATACAGACAGACAGGCACACTGACAAGACTGATACAGACAGACAGGCACACTGACAAGACTGATACAGACAGACAGGTAGACTGAAAAGACTGATACAGACAGGCAGGCAGACTGACAAGACCGATACAGACAGACTGACAAGACTGATACAGACAGACAGGTAGACTGACAAGACTGATACAGACAGACAGGTAGACTGACAAGACTGATAGAGACAGGCAGGCAGACTGACAAGACTGATACAGACAGACAGGCAGACTGACAAGACTGATAGACAGAAAGATGGATCAATAGATACAATGGTTGACAGACAGAGACAGATACATTTGTTGATAGATACATAGATACACTGTTAGAGAGATAGACAGACAGGCACACAGATGTTAAAATATAAAGCTTCTATTTATGTGTGTGTAACCTATATAATGATGCAAAAGCATGTGTCTAAATGCCTTCAGTGTGTACATGTGAGTGCACATGAGAGTGAGAGTGCACATGAGAGTGAGAGTGAGAGCAAGAGAATGTGTGAATGAGTGTATGAGTGAATATGACAGAGTGAATTTGTAAACTTGTTCAGGTTTAAGCATGTAAATTCATGTATGTGCATGTATGTGTATGTTCATGGGTGTGCATATACAGTATACAGTTTATTTTGATATATATGCACACATACACTGTATAAGTACATATATGTGGGTATGTCCACATGTTTGCAGGTATGTCCACATATGCACAGGTATGTCCACATATAGGCAGCTATGTCCACATATAGGCAGCTATGTCCACATATAGGCAGCTATGTCCACATATAGGCAGCTATGTCCAAGTAAGTGCAGGCATGTCCACGTATATGCAGGTTTGTCCTTATATATGCAGGTATGTCATGTATGCACAGGCATGTCATGTATGCGCAGGCATGTCATGTATGCGCAGGCATGTCATGTATGCGCAGGCATGTCATGTATGCGCAGGCATGTCATGTATGCGCAGGCATGTCATGTATGCGCAGGCATGTCATGTATGCGCAGGCATGTCATGTATGCGCAGGCATGTCATGTATGCGCAGGCATGTCATGTATGCGCAGGCATGTCATGTATGCGCAGGCATGTCATGTATGCGCAGGCATGTCATGTATGCGCAGGCATGTCATGTATGCGCAGGCATGTCATGTATGCGCAGGCATGTCATGTATGCGCAGGCATGTCATGTATGCGCAGGCATGTCATGTATGCGCAGGCATGTCATGTATGCGCAGGCATGTCATGTATGCGCAGGCATGTCATGTATGCGCAGGCATGTCATGTATGCGCAGGCATGTCATGTATGCGCAGGCATGTCATGTATGCGCAGGCATGTCATGTATGCGCAGGCATGTCATGTATGCGCAGGCATGTCATGTATGCGCAGGCATGTCATGTATGCGCAGGCATGTCATGTATGCGCAGGCATGTCATGTATGCGCAGGCATGTCATGTATGCGCAGGCATGTCATGTATGCGCAGGCATGTCATGTATGCGCAGGCATGTCATGTATGCGCAGGCATGTCATGTATGCGCAGGCACGTCATGTATGCACAGGCATGTCATGTATGCACAGGCATGTCCACATATGCGCAGGTATGTTCACGTATGCACAGGTATGTTCACGTATGCACAGGTATGTTCACGTATGCACAGGTATGTTCACGTATGCACAGGTATGTTCACGTATGCACAGGTATATTCACGTATGCACAGGTATGTTCACGTATGCACAGGTATGTTCACGTATGCACAGGTATGTTCACATATGCACAGGTATGTTCACGTATGCACAGGTATGTTCACGTATGCACAGGTATGTTCACGTATGCACAGGTATGTTCACTTATTCACAGGTATATCCACATATTGGCATCTATGTCCACATAAATACAGGGACGTCCACAAATGTGAAGCTATATCTACATATGTGTAAGGTATGTTGAAGTTTTTACTGGTATGTCCACGTATGTGTAGGTGTGTACATGCATATGCATCTATATAATATCTATATGAATTTATGAAAGGATACATTCATAAGCAACGATATTTTGCCTACATGTTTCTCAATGAATTCATATGACATACAATTTAATTCCAGATATAAACCTCATTTCTTATTCATTTCATTTAGCGCACATATAAAAAAAAATGTATAAATAGCACTTCCCATTCCTATTGTGAAATCCATAACAGAGAGAGGAATATACACAGCTCAATGCCGGAAATAATCGAAAATTAACATCCGAGACGTAGAAAAAGCTACAAGTACACGTCAAAACAAGCAACAAAAACAACGTCGATCGAGACAATCAACAACCTGCCACTGGAACATGGAAACCAAACATTTTCTTTTGAGGTTTAAAAAAATTTAACAGAGACCCGAAAACTGCAGCATTTTATAACCAAATGAAGATCTATCCCGATAATGAAACTTTCCATAGGATCACATAACACATGAACTAAGATAGGAGTTATAACTGCTCCGTCTTGCGAGAAGTAACGACACAAAGGACTCGTAAACCCTACAAAGAAAGGCGTTTGGTGAGGAAAACAACCCCGGGCGTAAACGAGGGGGCACGAGAGAAGGTGCTCGCTGCCCCCCCTATCAAGAGCAGGGAAAAGGGCCTCGTTGCAGAAAGGGACACGGAAGGGGGCATCTTGCAAGGAAATGCCTCCCCCTCCCCCCTTGGGTCCCCCTCGCGGCCTGCCTGTCCCACCCTCCCCCGCCCCTCCTCCCCTCTTCACCTGCAGGATGACCTGACCTCGCAGCCTGTGTGACGTCATCCAACCAAGGTCACATCGAGGGGGGGCAGGGGAGGGGGGGGCCGAGGAGCAAGGGCGTGTCGATCTTCTCACACCCCCCCTCCTCCTCCTCCTCCTCCTACCCCTTCCCTCCTCCTCCCCCTTTGCCCTCCCCCCTCAAAAATGCCTCCCGTTCGCCACCCAAAACAACCTCGTCCTCAGACCCCCCCTCCCCCCGTCACCTCCTCCTCCTCCTCCTCCTCGTCCTCCACCACCCCCACCACCACCTCCTCCTCCTCCTCCTCCTCCTCCACCTCCTGCTCCTCCTCCCTCCCCCCCTGCTCGGCCGCTGATCAATAATCCCGCAACACAACAGGTCCACCAAAACCCCCTCCTCGCCTTCTCCCTCTCTTTTCCTCTTCCTCTCCCTCTCTCCCTCTCCTCTATACTTACACCACCATGCCGTACGCTCCTTCCCCTATGTAGGCGAGGTTGAAGTAGCGCGGCCCCACCTCGAACAGCTGACACCTGACAATTTCGCCTTCCGCAGGCCGGTCCTCCGTCATGGCGCGTGCTTCCCGAGTGACGTCCCGATAACGACTGAGCGCGAGATCACTTCGGACCGGCAGCGCGCAGGCTTCTAAAAGACTCTTCCTTCGGTGGGGTTTTGGTTCTTGGCTTGTTCTTTGGGTTCGTAATTAGGGGGGTTTAGATTAGGGTTGGGTCATTGGCGTCCTTCTGCAAGGTCTGGGGAGGTGATATCGGGATGGGATTTGTCGATGAAGCAGAACGGATAATGTTGGAACTCTATTGACGTTATACTAAACTATTGACTAGGGAAATTACTCTTTATTCTCTATATACCGTAGAAGACTTCTTTTTGTGTAGTTCTTCTAGGTGAAGCAATCAATGTAGCCTTTATCGTCCGCAGAGCATAAAGTGGCTAACCATTAAATATGCCTTTTAAATACACCGCAGTATGACGTCATCGAACGGCAGCGCTGCCAAAGTTCATTTAATCGCATATTTAACTCTACCGTTAATTGATTTGACTCCTTTCTCGATACATAATGAATTCAACTACACGAACTTTCGAATATTCAACGAAACCAATGCAAAATGACCCATCCTTTACCTTTAAAAAGTGACAATGCAGAATAACAAAGGGAGAAATAAAGATTGGTAACCGTGTCGCGCGTCAAAGGGTTGGGTGATCATCTTCCCACAGATGCTCTAACGATCATTTTAGTCCCATACTTTGGATAGGCGCAAACTACACACATTTTTTCATATTAATACTGTCTCCAAAATCATAATGCAATAAAGCAAAAGGGATGAAATGCCAGAAATTGTGATGGTCACAGGAGAAAAGAGGCAATAAGCTTTACTGATGTGCGTTTCTGCAGATGTGCTTTTACATCATTTCACCGGTATATTGATTAAAAAAAAGAAAGAAAGATGCAATCATTTTGTCTCTAATTAGAAATGCACAAATATAAGTGTCTTCTGCAACCAGTACTAATATCGTTACTGTCCGTTATTTTTTTCATTGACACAGGAAGCCATCAGCGCGATAAATTTTTGTTCTGCGATATCGTTCACATTTTTAAAAAAGATGAACATTTTTTTTTTTTGTATCTATAATTAAGTACAAGAGCATTAAATATAAAATATTTTCTCGCTGCTAGGTCAAATGTAGCTTGGAATGCAAAAACAAAAAGGAGAAAAAATATGAGCGAAATATTGCGCTGGGTTTCGGGAACAAAGGAAACTATAAAATTATACAATCAAATTAATTTATTTTTCTTTTTTTCATCTTATTTTCTATCCATGTTTTTTTCAAGATATTAAACGAAAGGAAATCAATAAAAATATCCAGAGGAGGATACGAAATAAATGATGAATGTTGAGATCTTATGTTAAACAGGGAAAAAGAAAGAAAAGTGAAATACACACATCCATATTTTTATGCTTATATTAAAATAATGTGTACTATATCATTATCATTAATAATATTATCATTATTACAATTTTTCACATCATCCTTCTTTTTAATTAATATTTTTCTCATGATTTTTCGATATTTCACAAAAATATGAAACGTAAGTGACATTTTTTTTTCAAGAAATAAAACCAAACTTCCTCATAGTTGTTATCAATTACGATTATCTTTATTCAGATAACTGATAAAACATTACTGATAAGTTCCATTTTTTTTTTTTTCATAAATGGATTGCGATGACGATTATTTCTACGATTATTTAGATAGAGGATAATTACTTTTACTTGTTTTTCGTAAGGTAATCAAAATTATCATCATATTTATTGTCATTATCATAATCTTTTCATTCATGACGTTAGAATTATGATTTATTTTCGTCATTTTTTTTTCTTTTCCTTAAGCTACTATGAGTCATTATTTTCATTGATATTATCATTGGTATTATTGTTGTTGTTATTATTATTATTATTATTATTATAATTATTATTATTACTATTATCATTACTATTATTATTAACATTATCATTAATATTAACATTATTATTATGCCACAAGGCATAAACTAAATTTATCTAGTTTATGCAATGTGGGTTTTTCTACAGCACGACAGACTTTTCCCATTCATCATTAACATTATCAATATTGTTATTGTTATTATTATTGTTATTATTATTATTATCACTATTGTAATCATCACTATTGATGCCCTTTTTGTTAAAATCATAACTGTTATTATTATCATTATTATTATTATTATCATTATTATTATTATCATCATCATTATTATTACAGTCATCATGATCCTTATTGTTACTATTATTAATCATTAATATCATTGTTTTAATTACTACTGTCATTATTATCATTATCATTATTATTATTATTATTATTATTATTATTATTATTATTGTATTATTATCATTATTATCATTATTATTATTATTATTATCATTATTATTATTATTATTATTATTGTTATTATCATTCCAATTATTAATGTTATTGTCATTATCATTAGTATCATCATCATCAACAGCAATATCATCATAATCATTATCAATGATTATTACCATCACTGTGGTTATATTATTCGCCTTGTCATTGTCATTATTATTATTGTCTTAAACGCCAATATATTCCTTAGTGTTTACTATTATCGTTGTTGTTCGTATTATTTTGATCAATATCAATATAACTGTCACCATTACTATTACTATCATTTCTCTTATTAGAGCCATTATCATATTATCATTGTCACTATCCTATACTTATCATTATTACCATTATAATTACTATCATTGTTTGTTATTATTATCTTATTATTATTATTATTATTATTATTATTATTATTATTATTATTATTATTATTATTATTATCATTATTATTACTATTATGATTATTATAATTATTATTATCATTACAGTTAATAGGATTTTCATCATTAATATGATGATGATAATGATAATGATATATATGATAATAGTAATATTACCATCATTGTAGTTACTATTATTATTATTATCATTATCATTATTATCATTGTTATATCATTATCATTATCATCATTGTTATATCATTATTATTGTTGATGTTGTTATTATCATCATTACTAACACTATTATTATTATTGTTGTTACCGTTATCAATCATTTTTGTTGTCACAGCCATTTTTTTTTCATTATTATTTTATCAAATATGTTACTAACTTTATCATTGTTATCAGTATCATTTGATTGTGTTCTCATGTTCTCATACTGCAGTTTCTTTTCTTTTTTTTAGGTGTTACTTATTGCTATTATCATTATTTTCTGAACTTATATTTTCATAATTGCAGACGACGATATGTTATAGCTTTCGATATCAAAATTCCCAACCAAATATTATTACTGTTCGAATTGTGAAAAACACATTCGTCATACAAATCTCTCTCTCTCTCTCTCTCTCTCTCTCTCTCTCTCTCTCTCTCCTCTCTCTCTCTCTCTCTCTCTCTCTCTCTCTCTCTCTCTCCTCCCATATACTGTGCTTCTCGCCCTCTCCTGTCTCTTTCGCTGTCCCTCCCCTCCTTTTATTCTGTTTCTCTCGCTCTCGTCCTCATCCTTCTCTCTCGTCTTCTCCTCTTCCTTGCCTGTCTCTCTCGCCCTCTCCTCTTTCTTGTCTGTTTCTCTCTTTCTCTCCTCTTTCCCCTCTGTCTCTCTCGCCCTCTCCTCTCTTTTGTTTGTCTCTCTCGCCGTCTCCTCTTTCTTTTCTGTATCTTTCTTCCTACCCTCTTCCCCCTCTGTCTCTCTCGCCCTTTCCTCTTTCTTGTCTGTTTCTCTCGTCCTCTGCTCTTTCCCCTATGTCTCTCTCGCCCTACTCCTGTCTGGTTATCTCGCCTTCATCCTTTTTCTCTGTGTCTCTCTCGCCCTCTCTTTCCTTCTGTCTCTCTCGCTCTCGTCATCCTCCTCTCCTTCCCTGCAACTTCCTCGTCCTCGTCCTCCTCCGCTCTACCTCCCCTTCTCCCATCGTCCTCCTCCTCCTCTCCTTTCCTCGTCCTCCTCCTCTGCCTCCCTTCTCCTTCGCACAGCATCCTCCGCTGCACCCTTCTCCTCCTCCTCCTCCTCCTCCTTCTCCTTCTCCTTCTCCTCTTCCCTCTGTCTCCCTCCTCCCTTTCCCCCTTCCCCCGCTCCTTCTTTGTTTCCCCTCACGAAGCCAAACGATCAGCGGAAGACGTATCGATAACCCAGAGGTTGCCCTGGGAGGAACGCGGGCGAAATGGAAACCTTGATCCGTTATAGGCTCTGCACAGGCGGATGATGAACTAGGTTGTTCAGTGCGAGCGTGTTGATTGTTTCGCCTTTGTACATACTGAATATCTAATAGCGGAGCAGCACGCTTGTTGATGCTGGCTGGTCGGACGGGGCGCTTGGCTGGATCATAACATTTTGCTCTCTCCTGTTGATGATTTTTTGGATGTAAGAGCGATGTAATTGCATAGAGGGGCACCTACTTCCTCGATTCCTGATATGTGGCAGTGGTTAGCCAGTTCATAGACGATTCGGAGGACGTGTGCCGCGAACGAGGACGCATCGTCGCGACGTTCCTCTGGGGATTCGATGAGCAGAGGAACAGGTTTTGATTCTTTATCGTCGGGTTGATCACCGAATGCCTAATATCTCATCCGATTCTATATTCTAGCTTGGATTTACTTCATCGGCATGCTCTGCGATGAAACGAGTCTCGGGTATCAAATTAAACCCACATATTGTTGTGGTGTGTGCAAATACGCCGTTGCGAAAGCCTCTCTAATATTAAATCGACCTCAAGCTTGGGGGGGGGGGGGCGAATAAGCATTACGGGGATCTCGTCTTTTACTCGACAATTGATCTGAGTGGCGCTGTTATAAGGCATAGTTGTTGTCACTCTACACACATGCTCCCTCCTGGAAGAGAAAATGGGGAGCGACTCTGTTTACCTAACTGGTACAGTTAGAGCTCAGCGATAACTTTCCTAGAGCCTGCATTTGATCAGTAGTTCGCCTCGCAGTGTGTGAAGGGTTGTTTCCGGATTTCCCTCCCCTCTGTTTTCTCTATCTTTTTTATCTATCTCTGACTCTGTCTGTCTGTCTTTTTT